CTGCATTATGTGCACACCTGGTACTCATGGAAGTCAGATGAGGACATGGGGCCATGTGGAATTTTTGTTACAGATGGTTGAGAGCCACCACATGGATGCTGGGAATTGAACCCAGGTCCTCTATAAGAGCAGCTAGTGCTCTTAACCACTAAGCCATCTCCCTAGTCTCCAATTGCTCGCCACTTTATTGAGGTAGGGTCTTTTGCTGAGCCCAGAGCTGCCTGACCCCAGCTAGTTAAGCAGCCAGCTTGCCACAGGAGTTCCCAGTCTCCGCCTCCTGAGAGCTGGGGTCGCAGGCAGCCACACTCCGGGCCTCGCTGGCAGGGCAAGTGTGGTCTCTACTGACTCATCTTTCCAGTGCCTGCTCTAATCTGTATCTCCACATCAGAAGTAGGACAGCCACCTGGACTCACTTCCCTGTCACAGCTGATGTGAGACAAACTACCTCCAGTGTCTGGGGCTCCAATAGCCATCTTGTTTTCTTTTGGGGTACTGATACTGTGGGATTAAGGTCAAGGGCCTAATGTTCCCAGGGGAGCCTGGCTGGCTGTGTTTCAATTTGAGTACATTTTTGGAGAGATCTCCATTGTAATTTGCATAGGCATGGAAAATACCAAGTTTATGAGGCTCCCAGGGAGAATGCTGACTCACACTTTCATGATCTTAAGAGTACAGTATGACATTTACAATTGTTCTTATGTGTCATTTTGTACGTTGGTTTATTAGTCTTGTTTCTGACTCTTATTGCATACAAGGTGTGTGTGTGTCTGTCTGTCTGTCTGTGTCTGTGTGTTTTAAGATAAGGTCTCATTCTGGGATCCAGGCTGGTCTCGGCTTAGTTTAACATTGCTATTATTAACATGTCTACCAAAACATTTTTGTGTGTGTGTCTGCACATGTAAGCTTATAAAATCTTGAAAACAACCTGAAACTTTAGTCCTCTTTCTCTTCAGTCTCCTAAGGAAACGGGTTAGTTAAGGCTCTTATTTTACCAGCCTAAATGAGATGCAGGGATTAAAGGACAGCCATTGAATCTGAGAAATCACTTAAGCTTTTGATAAACTTTAATCAGAAACACTTTTTTAAGAAAGAATTTGAAACAGGGTCTCACTGGCTGGCCTGGAACTCACCATGTAGACCAGGCTAGCCTCAAACTCACAGAGATCCACCTACCTCTGCCTACTAAGTGCTGGGATTAAAGGTGTGCACCACCTCACTCAACCCAAATTTATCCTGTGTGTAAGTGTGTGGGCCACAGGCATGTGATGTTGCTGTTCAGAGGTCAGGTGACAACTTCCTAGAATCGGTTCTCTCTTTCAACCATGTGAGACCTGGGATTGAACTCAGGTCATCAGGCTTGCCCACTGATCCATTTCGCCAGCCCCAGACACGCCGCTTTAAACCCCAGTAGCACAATTTACACCAAAGCATGAACAAAAGCAGAGGATCCTGACTTTACTGTGTCATAAATCTAACTTGGTCTCGTCATCTCATAGACATGAATGATCTATACTTCTACCATATAAACTTCCAAATGCTTAACTTCCTAAAACCTATTAAAAATGAAATATTGAGCACATTGAATGTGCTTCACAGAACATTAAGATGTTCTGAACACACCATTAAGGGATATCTGATCTTCTCAAGGAAGTATTCTAGAGGGACAATAAACATCTAAAATAAAGACTTCAAAAGTACCATTAGTGTTTACATAAAACAGTATTCATTAAGGCATAAGATAAAAGTTGGTTAAGTAACAAAATTTTTTATTTGCTACATAAATTTTGGTAAGGATTTTCTTCTAAAACAGATTCTAAAAAGAAATTAAATTTTACATTTTCCCCTTAGTATTCTAGGGCAATAGAAACAAGACATAAAAATGTTTTATGCTAATCAAGATGTATGATTTTAAATACATTGGAAAACTAATAGAAAGAAGCTATTTATAATTACTTTGTAACATTTTCTTGATATAATGAGGTTGTCAAGAATAAGTTTTCTGAGATATAAGTAGCACGATACATAATTATAGAAATATGAGCTAGATGTTGTGGCACATGCCTTTAATCCCAGGACTTAGGAGGCTAAGGCAGGTGGATTCCTTGAGTTTGAAGCCAGCCTGGTCTATACAGTGAGTTCCAGGACAGCCAGAACTACATAGAGAAATCCTGTCTCAAACAACAACAAACCTTTATGACTATGTGTGGTGGCACATGCCTCTAATCCCAGCACTTGGGAGGCAGAGGCAGAAAGATCTCTGTGAGTTTGATACCAGCCTAGTCTACACAGTGCCATGCCACCCAGGGCCATACACTAAGACCTTATTAAAAATCCCTTTATTAGATTATTGCTATGAGGTTTGTGTTTCCAAGAATACTTTTGTACTTCTAATTATAAACATTTAGAACTTTAATTCTTAAGTGTTTGTGTATGTGTATGTGTGTGTGTGTGTGTGTATGTGTGTGTGTGTGTAGGTATGTGCATATGAGTACAACGTGATTGCAGAGGCCAGAAAGGGCATCAATCCCCTGGAGCTGGAGTTACAGGTGGTTGTGAGGAGCCTGATGTGGGTTCTGAGGATGGAACTCAGGGTCCTCTGGAAGAACAGCAAGTGCTCCTAACCACTGAGTCATCTCCCCAGCCCCAACATAAGATTTTACTCATAAAATCATGAATGGATATGTTTGTCAGAGATCTTTACATTCCATTTATGTGACATTTCCTCTTAGTGATGGGATAACAAAAGACACCAACCCTGACCAGTAGGGTGAAGAAGCTGGGTCAGCTTTGGTATGACTCCATATGTAATGGAAAAGGTCAATGTCATTGGATAATACCAAGAAAAAAGAGCTAATATTCTGTAGCAAAAGGGTAAGTTTTTAAAAAAATGATTTCCATCAAATTTTCAGAGAAATTTCTAGAATGCCTTCTGCTTGGAAAACATAAAATGTAAGTTCAAAAGATTAAAACTTAAAAGCCTGGCTCAGTATACAAAGATAGTTTTGTGTGGTTTCTGACCTTTGTTCTATAAGAAATATACATATGTTTCATCAGTGTTGAGATAGGCTGCTTCTGCTACTGAATAATGAAGTCGTTACTCAACATTAATTCATTGCTGATCGATAATATACATCTTATTATACAATGCCATTTCTTAATATCTAATTTTATATATAATGAAATTAAGGTAAAACAAGTATTGTTAACAAAAGACAGTATTAAATTTAGAATTCTTTCACTGAATTCAAGACTTGTTTATTTTTAGTGTGAGTGTGGTCTGTGTGTGGTGTATGGACCTGTGTGTGGTGTACAGGTCTATGTGAGGTGTGTATGGGTCTGTGTATGGTGTACAGATCTGTGGTGTATGGGTTTATGTGTGTGGTGTATGGGTTTGTGTGTGGTGTATGGGTCTATGTGTGTGGTGTGTGTGGTGTATGGGCCTGTGTGTGGAGGGTGTCAGGTCCCATAGTGCTCTGCCTTATTCCTTTGAGGCACAGTCTACCCCTGAACATACAGCTTGTGCTTTTTCAGCTGGGCTGGCAGCCAACAAACTCCAGATACCCTCTGTTCTCCATTCACCCTGGCACTGGGGTTAAAGGTGCGCTGGCTATGAAGGTGCTGAGAACAAACTCAGGTCCTCGTGGTTTTTCAGCAAGTGCCCTTAACAACCAAGCTGTATCTCCAAATCCGGACTCACGGTATTAACTCTTTATTATTATTTTGTGCGTGTGTTAGTGTGGGTCACATTTTACCTCCCACCATGGGCTCAGAGACTCACACTCAGGTCACCAGGTCCATGCAGCAAGCACTTTTACCTGGTGAGCCACATCACCAGCCCTGAGCTCAATTTCTAATGTTTCTAGTCTTTGGTTAAAAATATTCTTATGATATATATAATGCGACTGCCCGCCTGTCGTGGATAGTATATAACTGCTATGCAAATGAGCCAACAGAGGCAACATCCTGGAATGCCACTGAGAAAGCGGCTCATTTTTTATGATATTTAGATCTGTTTACAAACCAGCTAATTCTATGCATTACAAAAGTCTCCATGCTGCCAAATGAACTTAGACAAAGAGATAGAGATAAAAGCCCTATGGTTTTCACACCTCATACAGCATGCCTTTCCCTCATGTGGAGTGCTTACATGAGAGCCATAATTTGTCTGGATTTATAGACACAGATTTATAGAAACCATTAGCCATTCAATTGGCAGAAAGCTATGAGGTTGCATGTTACTTAGACATGAAATATCGAAGAACTTAACCATTGTTAGTTAAAACGTGCTGTCAGAATATTTAAATTCCAAAGTCCTGGTTTTGTTTGGTCTTTCTGTTCCTTATCCAAAACCTCAATTAAAAAGTAAAAACAAATGATCCAAATAACTACCCTGGCAGGGATGGTGGTGGTCTAGAGACACAGGTGCCCTTCCCTGAGTGAGCAGATTATCTAGACAATGGGCCCCGAGGAACTGGGATTTCTCCCAATAGTCTTATATTGCAGGAAGGGAGAGCTGAAACCTGGTGCCAGCCAGGGGAGGGGCCTGCCATGCACAAGAGATTCCACACAGGTCTGGCAACACTCAAGTAAGGCCACCTTTCAGGACAGACTGGAATCGAGAGGATGAAGGAGCCCCTCAGCCACGCTCTGTAAGTAACCCTGAGAAACTCTGGTTCACTAAGTTGCCCCGATGGAATCACTTCCTCAATCTGTCTGTGCCCTGTCTGGGGTACACAAATGTCTCCTTACATCCATGCAGGGAAAGTCAAGCAACAGACAGGATGAAGGGAGAGGAGCCTTGGCATCTGCCTGCCTGTCCTAAGACAAACTGTTGTAGATAAAGGATGCAGAATAAAACCTTCTAAGAACTAAATTTGAATTTCAAATAGTCTTACAAAGTTGTAAACTTGTTCTACTAGCAAATGAAACTGGACCCCTAACTCATTTCACTATGAAAGAACACTACATTCTCACATTTAGTTAGTTCCTGCCCCAGCAGAATGGCGAGTTAAGATCACTGGATTCTGCATCAAAGCCCAGCACACTCCCTTCTAGAGCATGGATTAAATACGTGCTGTTCTTTGAGCTTTGGTTCTGCTGGGAATTAAGCAAACTACATTTGAAAATGCATGTGTGGGGCCAGCAAAATGACCCAGAGGGTAAGGGGGCTTGCCACAAAGGCTGATGACCTGAGTTCAAATCCCCGGACCCACAAGGGTAGGAGAGAACTGACTGCTACAAGCTGTCTCCTGACTTCCACTCATGGCTGCATCCCATGCCCCAACACACTAAATAAATAAACGTGAGAAGAAAATGCATGTCTTTTCCATTGTTTGGTGGTAAGCCAGAAACCAGTGGAGGAGATGGAATGCACTTCTGCATTCTAATTATGACTATGGAAGGCAGAATGGATGACCAAAGCAATAAACAAGAAGAAAATGCTTCCCTTAAGGTAATGCACAGTAACTACAATTCTCGGACAGAGTTCCTGAGTATGGGGGGTGTATTCCTATGTGTGCACACACAAGTAGACACCAGATACTGAGGTTGGGTGTCTTCCTCTGCCGCTTTCCACCTTAATTTTTCCACCTTATTTGAGAGTCTTTCACTGGACCTGTGTGGTGATCTATTGTGTACCCTAATAAACTTTGCCTGAAGATCAGAGGACAGAACAAGCCACTAGATTAGACATAGAGGCCAGGCAGTGGTGGCACACACCTTTAATCCTAGCACATGGGAGGCAGAGATCAGTCTGGATCTCTGTGTGTTCAAAGCCACACTGGACTACATGAGATTGACTCAGTCTAGGAGAGAAACAGAGCCAGGCAGTGGTGGCACATACCTTTAATCCCAGTACTTGGGAGTCACAGGCCTTTAAACCCAGCACTAGGAAAGTTGAGACAGGAAATGATATGGGCGGGCAGAGAAAGGTATATAAGGGGTGAGGAGACAGGAACTAAAGTCTTTTGGCTGAGAAAAGCTTTTCAGGTTGAGGAGTCCTAGAGGTAAGAGGTAACTTGTTCCTTTGTCTCTCTGATCTTTCAGTGTTTACCCCAATTTCTGGCTCTGGGTTTTTTATTAAAGACCATTTGGCAGTTCGTGTTACAGATCTGGAGCACAGCAACGCTCGGAGGGCTGTTCAGCGAGTCCCGGGATCCTCATGTCTCTACCTCCTCAGCACTGGAAATACAGGCGAACACCACTGTGTCCAGCTTTCACAGGACTGTGGGGACTCGAACTCAGGTTCTCATGCTTGAGGGACAATCACTTTACCACTGAACCACCACCCCAGCCCCTTAAATTAGTTCTCCCTTAGGGACCAATCACAGAAGGAGCTCCATTCTCTATATCAACACAGGTGAGGAACCAAAGGAACGTCCGCCTTGAGAAATCCCCTCCGTCCCTCCTGAAGTTGGTTTCTCCTGATCTTATAGGGGGAGGCAATGGCCACATTTCACTTTATCTGACAGGAGAGCTGTTGGGTGGATTTTGCTAGCTGCTTCAACTATTAAAGAAAAAAAAGGGGGAAAGAGAGACAAAGCATGATGTTTCAAAAAGAAAATCATTACCTAACCACTGGCCAGTTGGGTTTTGAGACTTGTCTGCCAGGGCTGTCCCTGGGGGAAAATGACAGACTCTTTACCAGAGAACTTCAGTTCTCACGTCTCTGAAAACCATCACGACACAAGCCCTCTGTACATCTCAGTCCGCCTGGAGGAGTCACCGGACTTTACCACACATTCCTCTCACCAAAGGATGACTGCAGGACAGACAGCTGGAAACCAAGAGCTTCTTCCATGTTAACGGCCAAAGGTTCTCTTTTTTAGAAGATTGTTTTAAAAGCTAAACTCGGAAGTTCTTAATTTATTGTTTGTAATTTTTTAGCATGGGGCAGAAGAGACATCTCAGCAAAAGTACTTGCTGCTCCAACAGAGGACAAGGGTTTGGCTCCCAGCACCCGTGTCCTGTGGCTCACAACTACCTGTAACTCTAGCTCCAGGGGATCTGATACCCTCTTCTGGCCCCCTCAGGCACACATATGTATGGAAGCATAGTCACACACACACACACACACACACACACACACACACACACACACACACACA